CCTTTAAATGAACAGAAAGGGATACAGAAGCAAAACCCCCCCGACCGACCGCTCCCTCTCCCTACGTAGAGTCCTACATGTGGATCCGGGGCGCTTGCAATGTGTCTGCGATCGCCTCTCCAAAAAGGATCCAGAACTGAATTTCATCAAAAACTCGGAATGAAACAGAAACAGAAATATGATTAGTATTGTGGTAATTTATTTTTGTATGAAACAAAGTCAGTATTTCCATTTAGTGAATGTTACATTAAACAGGACCAAAAATCAAACTTATAGGCCAAAGCGTAGTGTGAGCAGTTTAAAACATTTAACATCAGTGCCTCTTGATTCGCTTTCTTGCACCTGGCCCTGCTGAAGATGATGGAGTGGAGTGAAATGCATTTCTATGGAGGGAAAGGTAGAAACACAAAATACAACACTGTATTAACACACCATAAAACGCAAAACAATTATGACAACTTGCCACACTCAACGTGTTCGGCACTTTAAATTCACTTTCTTACCCCAAATTGAAGTCTTGACTATAAGACTCTGGAAAGAGGAAAAAAAGAGAATAAGAGGGATGTATTTTTAGATGCACATACTTTCATTGTGTTTGTTTAAACTTGATATGAAAAAGGAAAAAAAAAAAACTTACCAGTTAGACTATCAAAACTGACACTTCTTTGGCGGCCAGCTTCCTGAGACTGATAAAGAAACTATGTTATTAGAAGATATAAAACAATTTTTAAATCTACCTGTCTTTAGCAGTCTCTCTTACCTCCATGCTTTGTTCAAAACTTGATGCGGATATAGAGTCATTACCATCATCATCATCAGATGCATCATTTTCACCCATTGTATTGCAAATAGTAGCCTGGATATGTACAGTGATTATTAACACTTAAAACAAAGATATAAATTAAGTAGAGATAGATAAAAATATACAATTTTACCATTTCATGGACAGTCTTTTCAATCAATCTAGTTGAGGCAATTGAAAGTAAATTTTGCCGTGGAATATGAGGCTCTGCTCTATCATCGCGGAAAAAGGGAGGAGGCAACACCATTTTCGGTGTTAGAAGTTCAACTTCTTTTGAACTTTTGTAATGTTTCACAACTACCCGAAGCAGCTCAATCATTAACAAATATTTCTATGAGATAAAAGAGGGTATTAGCTGCTATAGTAGAAGGACACAATTCCAGGAACATACAATCGTCTAAGTTTCTTTTCAAGTTTAGGTTACAAAAGTCAATAATATTCACCACTTTCAAGGAGTCTGAAGAGGGTTGATTCATCATATTTTCAGCAAAATCTACTAAATTCATCATGTACACTTTTTCTACCTGTCCGCCATAAGTACTTGGATGACATAACATTGCACATACAAATTCTAGACAGTATGCCGCTTTGGTAAGTGGTTCAATATGTACATCAAATTCATCGTCATCTTCAGATATCTGGAAATCATTGTGCTCAGCTAGAATCGGCACAGCTAGAGCTAAAATATTCTCAAAAACTAGATGTGGTTGCTCTTCATATAGTTGTCGGAAAGTTGCTGAAATGAAAAATGTCACACAAGGGTAAAGACTGACAAAAAAAAAAAATCGTACACATAGAACAAATGAGTAAGACTGGAATAACATTCACCTTTTCCCAGTAAACACTTTCTCCCACGATCTACCTGTCTTGAAACAAAAACTTCTTGAAGTAATTGCTCTGCTAGCTGTCTTGTTTCTGTTTTCTCTCTCCATTTATCTGAGCCTAATAATGCCAGAATCCCTAACATGCAAGTAGGAAGATTTCCTCTTTTGTGACCTCTATTGTATGATTTGATTTTGTGTGGTGACAAGCCCTGGCATAACTTCTTTGCAAACTCTAATCTTACTTCCTCTCTTGAATCCTAATGACAATTTAAACAATCTTGAGTACAATATCTTGGCAACAGGTCTAAAGCAGGTACACCAAATATGTTCACATAATGTTCTAGGACTTTTTCTTAAAAAACTTACTGTCATCAAGTGAGATAATGCTAGAAGTAATTCCTTAGAAACAAATTTGTGATTTACATCAACTTCAAATACATTGAGAATAGCACATGCAGCCTCATATCGCAGGCGGTCGATGTCTACACCTCTTAAGTTATCCATCAGACATTCTGTAGGTGAACATACAATTCTCTCCAAGCTAGATAAAACATCTTTGACTGTAGAGGAGCTACCACAATACCGCATACATCTGCCTAATGCACGGATAGCTTGTAACTGAAAAAAAACTCAGGTTGATTAACGGCATTTAAAATTTACAAATGTAAAAATAGAAGAAAATTAATCACTAAACCTTGATCCGAATATCAATAGAGAGCTCTTGCCAATCAATCCAAGAATTATTAGATGAGGAATCTAGCGATCCTAAGGTAGATTGTATTTCTTGATCGGAGCTGCCAGTTATGAGATGTAACAGCTGTTGTCAGAAAAAAAAATATTTTATAAATAAACTCCTCAAATATAATAAAATTAAAATATTGGACTCACATGTGATGTACATATCTGCTCAACTTCCTCCTTTAAATGAACAGAAAGGGATACAGAAGCAAAA